TTTATTATTTAATTTGTAAACAAATGTTTTTAGAGCAATTGGAGACAACAAAATAAAAAACTTAATTATTAAATGCATTAAATATTGTCAAGCATTGACTGTGTAAAATAGACAAAATACTTTGGATAAATGTTATGTATTTCTATAAGAGTTATGTTGAAATAAAAAAATTAAATGCACTATTAAATTTAAAAGTGACGGAAGAATATCTTCTATGTTACATTAACAGTCACTCCAGATAACATTGTTAATAAATGAATGATAGCGAACAATAAATCTTTTAGAAATATTTTATTTAAAACAAAAATATAGTAATTTATATGTTTGTTCTTAAGAAAGAGAATTTGTAACATTTTATCTGACCCACTCTATATATTTGTTTATAGGTCGACGTCTAGGTTTGTCTAGACATCAATCAGATAGAAATTTCAAAATAATCAGTTCGTTCAGATAGAACGATTTTTGTGATGGATTAAGCCACCTCAAATGTCAGTCAAAATCAATAATACCGTTTATTTCTTGCAACGGAATGTAGCATGCTTTAAACAGACCATCCATTTTATATTAAAACGGTATAGAAAGATAATATCATGGATTGTAGCTATACGAAATGAAACTATTCAGTGACAAGTACATTCGTAAAAAATGTTTAAACATAAAATTGTACATATGAGCAAATGTTTTAATTTTACTCACAGAACACCTCGTTTATTAGGTTGTAAAATAAATATATTGGCTTGCGAATGTAAACATATTTTAATTTTAAGATTTTAGTTAGTTTGAACTCAGCATTGCTACTTCACTCTTTTTTGAAGATAATAAAGAAATAATATTGAATGTACATAATCGGATTTATTTATATTACAACCTAATATACATTCACATTTACGATTTTACAAGGTGTTTGTACATTTGAAACGATGAATGGTTTAGAGAACATTAATAGGAACAGTGCATTTTACTGAAGACTTGAAAATTTTATTGAAGATACTATACGGCACGAATCTTAAAGCGCACTTATTTTTTTAGAAGATCTGCATAAGAGAAATCGAGATGTTTAAATGCTATTCACTGATTCCTTTATGGGCGACAAGTGTTCCTAATTTCGCCAAATAAAAGGAACGTTACTAATTGTATAATGAATGTAATTTTCTATTGTAATATTTACATATCTCAAATTATAGTGATTACGAAAAGAAACCAATGTATGCAGGTATACGTTGTAATTAAATACACTACGCGTATAAATATTTTACCGAATAACGATTGAACAATAATAAATAGCGTATTAAACTCACGTATGTTTAAAATTGATATATTTTGGTAAACAATGTTGACGAATATTAACAATATGAGGAACTATTGAAATTACTATAACGAACAATAGTACTCGAACATAAATGTATGCTAATTTTAGCAGAAACTGTTAGATCCTTATTTGTTCACACGTCAAACAAACTTTGTACGTACACTTCTTTTGTAAGATTGTGTTGAAGCTGCTAGTTCTTATTGACAGGAGCGATGGATAAATGCGTATGAATATTTGTACATAATCTGTGCATGTATAATTAGCCTTGAATACGAGCGTGAGAGAGAATATATGGTAAAACTAGCGAATTATTTAATCGATTGGCTGAAACTTCAACTGAACAGCATTTGTGTGAAAATTAATCGATTAATTAATTAGCTTAAATGTATTCTTAGTATAATTTGCCTGGGGGAGAGGATGACTGTATAAATACAGAGTGCCACTGTTATAGACTAAATTTTACTGTATACGTATTGAAGATGATAATTAGTTATTAAAAATGTCTCTTTGATGTTCTGACCATCATTATGAAATTCCTTTCTCTGTCCTTACAAACATTAAAACTACCCGACATTCAACATGATTAATAGATAATCTTTATCAAAATTATGACAAACGATTTTTTTCGGTTTCTTCATATACTGGTTATAGTATTGGCTTGAAACTATTTATTTTTCAAATCATTTTGAATATTTAACGCCGATTATTACATCGATCGTTTTCACAATCATACTTACTTATTTTGCTTCCCAAAATATTGTTTACTCATTCTTCAAAGAAAAAGTTGCAAGGAATAAACAGAAATGTAAAGTTACCAATCTAAATGTGGAATAATATTTGATTTTCTGACGTCTTCTTTTTTACTATTTCGTTATGAGGAATAGATTCGAGGAAAATAGCATGAACGTTCATCGAAGACGGTCAAAGATGAAGCCGCAAGGAAACAGGAAAATTAATGCGGGGAGAAACGACTTTTCAAAACTGCGATTCTCCAAACCGGTAACTGGAGCGGATATCTTTGGTTGGAGAGAGGAATGAAGGCAATAAAACAACAGCAGGAATAATATCGTTTCTTTATATCGCTATGGAAAATATCTGATTTCGTGGATTATTTTAAGGAATGCATAGAAAAAGAAGTTTTTATTTTCGTTTTCGGTTATTAGTATTTTTTGCTTAATTTATGAGTTCATTCTGCTGCTTTTAAGACACGGATAAACCTTATATTTTGGTCAACTGTTATTTCAAGCATTGTTTAGAAAAACATTTACCTTTTCTTAATGTAAAATTATTTAATTTGT